TCTTTCCCTTTACTCATCTTCCTCATAATGTCATCGGTGGTGGCAAGAACCAACGGCGAGGACGGAAAGCACTACCCTGCTCCACTCTCCCCTCACGAGGATGTAGTGAAGGACTCCACTCTCTTCTGGGACACTCTAAGGCGCTTTCACTTTGTCATGGGCACCAAATTCATGTGAGCCTCTATGTCTTGTCTTGTTTTATTTATCCTCGTCAAAATGTGGTTTTAATTTCACTTCACCCAACATTTCATTTTGGTTTGTGTTTCTGTGACATATTATTGGACGGTTTTGCCCTCTGAAGGATTCCTGTTATTGGAGGGAAGGAACTGGATTTGCACGTTCTTTACGTGGAAGTTACCAGAAGAAGTGGCTACGAGAAGGTGGGACTCCTCCGTATAACCTCTGTAACACTCTCCTAATTAATTAAATAATAAATAAAAATTGTTGGTACATGTTTTTTTAACTCCCTAAAGTGCAGGTTGTCGCAGAGAAAAAATGGAGGGAAGTTGGTAGTGTTTTCAGATTCTCAGCTACGACCACAAGCGCATCTTTTGTACTCAGAAAACATTACTTCAGTCTTCTTTTTCATTATGAACAAGTTCACTTCTTTAAAGCTCGGGGTCCTATCTATACCCCACCACCAGGTATCTACTACTACTTTTCACTCTTTGTGTTTGGTGTATATATGTATATATATTTGATTATTTTTTAGTTTATTTTTTCTTCACTTTATTGTTGTTCAGATGCATTTTCCGGCAACAGCCCCTCGTGGAGACCTGAATTAGCTATTGTGGAATATTCGCCTAAGCCTACAAATAATGGTCCTGAGTCTTATGTTAAAGGTAATTAAGCAATTCTCAACTCAGAAAATAAAGCATTAAACTGCTAAGATGAAATTGTATTTTTGGGTTTACCATCTCTGTAGAATGGGTTGACAGATGTTCTTGCTCTCTCTATAATGAACTGATATCTGGTAGCTAATTAATAAATCCCGATTTTTCATGTGCCGTATAGATGCATATTTATTAGACTATTGGTTAGGTATTTATGTTTATTAGACTATTGGTTGCATAATAACCAGATATCTCTACTAAACTATTGGTTGCATATTTATGTCTTTCATATAATTTAATACGACTCCTGGGAGTCTTCGTAAATGGTTGACTTCAATACACATACACAAATTCTTATAATTGTACTAGTAATGAACCAAGTAACCGGTTTGACAAGAAAATTGTTGTAACTTATAACTTGTAACGTGTTTGACTTATAGCAGTAACAAGTAAACTGAAAGCCTTTTGGTGTTATTTGCTTGCATATTGCAACCCATTCCTTAAATAGGCCTTTTAGTTAGTAGTTATAACTCATGCCATTTTAAGCCAGAAAATAATGTACTTATTATTTATTTAAGTTCTCTGGACTTCTAAAGAACTTTCAAATGCTGAAATGTGCTGTTTGTTGTGTTGTCCATAGATACTTCATGTCTTTCAGGAAATGGAACTATTGAGGGAAAATTTGACTGTGGTTATTTAGTGTCGGTGAAACTTGGTTCAGAAGTTCTTAGAGGGGTGCTTTACCATCCCGAACATTTGGTTCCTCCTCCGTCAATTCCACAACATGAGAATGCAATTGTACCATTCAACCGCAAACCTCACCGTTCTGGTCGAAGGAGGAGAAACAAAAGAAGGTGGGACCCCAACTATCCAAAGCCAAATAGGAGTGGCTATAACTTCTTCTTTGCTGAAAAGCATTACAGTCTCAAATCTCTCTACCCAAACAGAGAAAGGGAGTTTACCAAAATGATTGGCCAGTCATGGAACAGTCTTAGCCCTGAAGAAAGAACGGTTATTTTTCTTCTCTCCTTATTTTGTTATCAATGTTAGTTTTGGTTAAAGTAAGATTTAAATTATTGATGCTTGCACTGCTAATGTATTGTTGCAGGTTTACCAGAACATTGGCTTAAGAGACAAAGAAAGGTACAAGAGAGAATTGACGGAATACAAAGAGAAGATGAAGCTTAGGACCCCAGAAGCTGCACGTCCATAGAATCTCACCGGTACCCTTTGTGGCAGCAAATGAATGATTTAGATATATTTTATAATCTGTTTGACTTTTTTACATACATATATTGTTGTGGATAATGGTCCACTGGTCTCAGGTTTATAGGACTATTGCTTTTTATTTATTTCTTTTCTTTTTTATTTAAAAAGAAAACTAGTCTCGATAGATAGTCAGACTCTTTCGTTTCGTTTAATCAATCTATTATCTTCCCAATTTTGTACTCTCTGGATCAATGGTTTATTGACACAACACTCGATACGGGACAGAGAACATAGCGTGGCCCACTTGGTTATGAATATTTTTGTTTTTTTTAAATAATTGCAACACTTATTTTTGAAAAATTAGAAATGTCTTATAAAAGTCATTTTTTTTATCAAAAAATATCGATTTTAGGTTTAAGGTAAAGATATTTTAATCTTTTACTTTTACCTTTTTATTATTTTTTTCTTGTACTTTCACATTTTTTCTATTCCTATTATAAAAAAAATCTTTGAAATTTATTTTGTAAAATAAGTTTTGAAATTTCGAAAGCGAAGTAATATTTCAAAACAATTTATGCATTTTTCTTTTAATCAGGAGTGAACAAGTTATGTCAGACTTTTCAAGGCTGAAACTTGGCCCAATTATCAATCACAAGAACTAAGATTGATTAGAATACTTGTAGTTTACTTTTAAGTTAAATCAATTTGAAAATCAGTTCATTGGTCAAAATAGGCTAGTGGAACTATCGGTGAAAATATAGATTGGCCTAAGTCTTATTATTGTTTAAGAATATATATATTTTTTCTATGTCGAATACTTATTAAGTTAGTTTGTAAGTTTTATTAATATTATTGGACTTTTATTTGTCTGGGCTTATTACTATCTATTTAGACTACCAAACCAATTTTAAATATATCTCAGTGTGGACTTTTTAGTTAATACGTTGGACTTTATATATAGGATTTAAGTGGGTCACAAATCTTTATTAGATAATTTGGTTTATTTTTATCTCTATTTTGATACATTTTTTATTAATTAAAATTTATGCAAATGTCATAATTTTTTTGAATCATATTCTTAATTTCATTAAAAAATCAATAAGTGATAAAAAAAATTGTTGATAACATTCTACTTTGTATAATAATTAGATAGATTCCAAATGTTGGCACACACGATGATGATTGAAGAGGAATGCTTCATCTCAGTGTGTGACCAGGTTTATAGCTAACCATTCACATCCGGGGGGATTAAGGTTTCGCTTAATTAGTCTAATTGTAATTAGTTAGCGAGTATGAGCCTGTTTACCAAGTTAATTAGCCACTATTATTTTGATTTTAGAAACTTGTTAGTTGTACGATTGGATTTTTCTATAAACCTTGTTAAAGATAAGTTTTAAGTATAGTTTATTTAATGTTTAATATATTAAATAAAATTTTGAATCTTATAATAAAAAAGTGTGGTTGAAAGAGAGAATTTTACAAATGACACGAAAATATTCGAACCTAAGATCTCGTAAATATTATTTTATATTAAAGAATGAAAATTTTAAATTTTATAATATATAAAATAATATTTACTCGAGAATAGTTTAATTTTCAAATACTATCCTTTATTTGATTGTGTTATTTTCTAATTTAGAATTTAAATAATTCTCAAATATATCATTTCCTTTTAAATTTTAATATTATATATATAAAATAAGCTTTAATTTTAAAATATAAATATATATATATATATATATATATATAAATTTATATAATTTTGCAAAAACAACCTCATAATTCATTGATGTTTAATAATAAGAATAAGGGAAAGAACACCTAAAAAGTTCTTCCTACTCAGAAACTTTTTTTAAAATGTTTTTAGTTCTAAAATTTTTGAAAATCAATTTTAGTCCTTTGAATTGTTTTAAAACTATTTTAGTTTCTCTAATTTGAAAATACATCACTTTTAGTCCTTGAAACTATTTAATGCGCTAAAAATGATTATAAAACACAATGTAAACTATTTTAAGGATTAAAAGTAGTATGATTTTAAATTAGAAGGACTAAAATTGAAAAGATTTTTTAAGAACTAAAACTAAACTTGTAAAATCTTAGAGGATAAAAGCATATTTTGCAATTTTGTTTCCTTTTCGACAAACTACTTCCTACTCAGCAAGCAATCATGCAATGGAGACTATAATTTAATAAAAATTATTTGAATGATAAGTAATGATATATTATTATGTTTAATGGTGACTTATGACATTCAAATATTGATTTAAGAAATTAATAAAAATAAAATATCTTTATTACACAATTAATTTAAAATGAAAATCATTGATTTGTAATATAAAAAAATTATAATATATATGCCATAAAATGAAAAAAATAAAATAAAATACATGATCAATAAGGAAAAATGAACGTATAAAAATTATTTAATTGTATTAAACTTATCCAATAAAGAGCGGAATACTAATATATGGATCTCTTTGTAATTAATTAACAACTAAAGTAAAACGTGAATAGAAAAGGAAAAAAAGAAAGACATGAAGAAAAAGATTCAGAGACTCCATGATGAGTGGATAAATTAATTTATTAGCAGAATCTTCCGACTCCTCAATAAGGAGAGAAGAATGATTGCCGTGCCAAGTTTAAATAAAAGAGTAAAATAGTATAATTTGAATTAGTTGTGTGTGTGAGTGCGATGTTATGGTAGTTTTAGTTTATGTGGGAAGCGAGAGAAACAAGGGGCGAAAGTGTTTGGTGGGTTGCTGATGCCATCATATCATATCATATTGTGCTTATAATAAAGCGATTCATATTGTGTTTGTCGTCATAACATAATCAATCTAAATGGTTAATTCTTGGATAAGTAGCGGTGGCATAATCCACGTCGATAGGGGTGCGCACTACGCTCACTCGCTATTCATTTATGTTATTCTAAACTCACTTCACTTCCCATTAGTTTTGGTGATCGCGTCGTTGGAGACTAGTGTAGCCGAATGCCATTTTTATTCATCTTACTATTGTATTGATTATCGAATTTTGGTTTCAGTTGTCGACTCGGAATCAAAAAATATATACATGGGAGATACAGAATCTTGCAGCAGCGGAATCTTCAATTCAGGATGGAATCAATGTCCGAAACAGAAGCACAAGGTTGGAGTCTACAACGAGGTTTTATGTAGGCTTAAGGAATTGAATGTCGCAGAGGCTGTGGTTCCTGGTTTCGAGGACGAGCTTTGGGCGCACTTCTATCGCCTTCCCACTAGGTAGGTACTTTCGATCGTTGATTCTTGTTCTTGTTCTTGCTTTTTACTTTTTAGTTAGTTAAACCACTGTTCTTTCTAGTTTCATGTTTTTCTTTTTGTTTTTTATGCACTTGTTAGATATGCATTGGACATGAACGTGGAAAGGGCCCAAGACGTTCTTATGCATAAAAGATTACTGGACATCGCACGAGCCCCAACTACAGCAACCGGACCTGCCGTACAAGTTCGTCTTGTACAGGTAATTCATCTAGAAACTTTTTTTTATTTATTTTTGTAGCTACGAGGTATAACCTATCGTTAGAAATAAGGTTATACCGGAACTCTATGTCCATTCCATTGTCTGAAACAAAACTTCAATATGATTTTTAGTTAAAAAAACACAAATAATGGAGCACTTGGGTTAATAATTTTTTATTGATTCATACAGAAACTGTAATAGAAACTCGTCATATATAATAACTAATTAAATAATAGCGGATAAAGTTTTGACTTCTAAAGTTTCCTTTCGTCACTCAAAATTTCCATAATTCCACACTCACTATACTACATGAATTACGCACTTGAAGATGGCCATTGGCAAGGCAACCATTGTTGGCCTACGTCACGCTTCCATTACTACAAAGCGTTTATCTGTGATATTTTGAGCTTATTATTTAGTAATAGCTGATACACATATACCCTTTTAATTATACCATTAACACTCTTTTTAATATATTTTTATCAGAGCAACTTGTAATAAAAATTATCATGTTTTGATTTCATCGGTATCTAATTTATTTTCATTTTATCGGGCACTATAGAAACTTTGCTGTTTGATTTTGCTAGACCTTGTCAATTTATCTTATTATGCAGATTGGTTCTACTGCTGCTGATCGTTCTAGTAAATCATTTCTTTCACACTCACAAAGTAAAGTTTGTCCTGAAGATTCCGGTATTCCGGGCAACATGAGGCATGATTATCTGAATTGTCATTTTCCATTTATACACCTATTATGGTTACACACATATATATATATAAATTAGGTCTTAGAAACTTTTTTAACAGTTGCTATTCCTCGGTCATGCTTTCTTAGCTTCCATCCTCTCCCGGCCTTCGGTTCATCAGCTAATGTGGAACTTACTCTTGGCAAGAGGCAATTACAAGTTCGAGACAGAGATAACTACTTGAATTTTTATGCACATTATGCCGGGTAAAACTTCAATGATAATCTTTCATTTTTGTTTTGCTACTTTTTTTCTTCTTCTTTTTCCACTTATACTGTTTATTTATTTAAATTTCTTCGTTTCAACCTCTCATAATTCATCATACCTTCACATGTTATAAAAATAATTTATTTATCAAAAATCTGTATCTAATTTCTTTTATGTGCGAAATCCGTTGGGTCAACGATAGTCATAATATCATAAATAAAATTATTTTAAACTCAATGTACTAAAAAATATCTATGGCTGGAAAAAAAAATCTTTTTTTTGTTTTGTTTTGTTTTTAGTATCAGGACTTTTCCTCCTTATGTAAATAGTTAATGTTCCCACAGTATAAACAAATCTATATACTATTATTCTATCACAAATGTCATGTATTTTATGGTTGTTGAGTTTTATAACAATTATTTAAATTATACTAACTGTCATCAATTTTGGTCGAGAAACGTGGTGATATTTCTATAGTGAGATAAATTTATATGAAATTAAGAGAAATAAATTTAAGTCACGTACCTAAAGATACATATGATAACTTAAAAATTTTATGAGTTATATGATTTAATCTTAATCATTCATGATAAACTTCAATAGTTTTTTTAGAACATAAACTTTAATAGTTAATGCAGTATTATTCTTTTTTACCTCCACATTAAAAATTCTCTCGATATGTATCTTTTCTTGTCTAGGGAGGCCTTTATTTTTGCTTGAAATTTTGCTTCTTGTTATCCCTTTTCATTCTATTATTTTCCGCAGGCCCATGCATGAAATCACAATTTCAACAAATGACAAGCCAAAACTTCTTTGCCAGGTAGTTAATCTTACTATTGTGGTGCAAATTTTTTTACCTAACGAGGAAAACCTACGCCCAATTATTCTTTATTTTTTTTTAAAAATTATTGTACTATATTTCTTATGTATTGTGTGTTTGCTATAACAATTCCAATAGGGTTTGATTGGGACGGAATTGAAGGGGACTAAATTTTCTTCTCACTTTGAGTGTGTTAAGGAACTCACTTTAGTAGCTTGTAAGTTGGTTTGTCTAGGTTATTAGCTAGTTTGATCAAAATTTAAGAGTTAACAATTTTATTTGTCTTCTAAGGATATATTATTAAATTGCTTTATTTCCTTCTCATTTAAACTAAAAGATACACGAGGCCTTGGAGAGTTGGAGTATTCTACAATGCACAAAACTATTAATATTGTTGAATAATTAGCGAGGACTAAATTTATGGAATTTCATTTCAATATTTAACAATAGACATTGTTCAGTCTTGTTTCTGATATGAAGCTGTTACAACAATTTCAACAATATATATTACAGTATGCATATTGTATATATTTTTGACAAACAGGGGAGTAGATATTTAATATGCAACCTTAGTTTTCATTTCCTTCACACCATCCACAAAATAAATGAGATTTTTATTTCTTTAACAAATATGTGCAAAAATCAAGGTTTTTATAATTTAAGTTATTGTGTTGAACTACAGTTGACTTCCTTATTATCTGAGACTGGACTGGACATTCAAGAAGCACATGCTTTTTCAACAATAGATGGCTATTCATTGGATGTTTTTGTTGTTGGTGGTTGGGTAGTAGAGGTATTTTCCTCCTTTTCTTGATTCAAGTACAATAGTTCATTCAATTGAGATTGTTAGGAAAGGAATTAGCATTTCGCATGGAACCGGAAAAAAATGCTTGGAATTGAAATGCACATACAATCCCTTTTTATGATTGACAACTTTGAACCTGCTATCAAATATGATGTACCATTGACACATTTTTTTAGCAAAAAGATAGGAGAATATAGTATTCAACTCTATTTTTTCCCTCTTATTTCTTCATAACAAATTTACTTGACACATGTCCATGTTTGAAATTTATAGGGGACAGAGAAATTAAAACATGAACTAGTTAAGAAAATTCAAAAGCTCCAGGTAGGCCCTTTATATGCCATTTGAGGTTACATGTTTACCAGATATGTTTGAAGATCTACTATTACCTCTAATAGTGTTATTTACATTTACTCATTTTATTCTACCATTTCTCTTTTAAATAACAAAATAAGAATACTCTTATATCAATTTTTTACCTTTATTTTTTCAATCAATTGTAGAAAAGAATGTACAAATATTGTTTCTTAAGTAAAAAAATGTCTTTTTTTATTTTTATTTTTTACTTATAATGAAAGAAGATCAAAGGTTCCCGAGCCACCTTACGCCTGTCTCTGGATTTGGACCCAAAATTCCATATGTAGTTGATGGTAGCAATTTTTTTAGTTCAATCATGGTTATGTTAATAGTTCAATTTCCCAAGTTAATAACAAAAGTTGGTCATGTTTAACATGTAATCACATATTAAAAAGTTCAGTAGTTATCATTTTAGTTTGAATGAAATTAAGTTAACTTTTTATAATAGATAATCATTTATAAGTTATTTTTCTGGGAGGACATTTGGAAGCAACTTCAATTGAAAGAAAATGGGAGTCTTATTACTGCAAAGCAAGAGCAAACCAGGATGAACTTTATTTGGAGAATTGGTGCTGGGTGTTTGAGATATGAAAAAATAATTGCATCTGGACCTTTCAGTGATTTGTGAGTATTATTGTTCCTCTTGATTTGTTTGTGGATTAGTAAATATTGAGTTATTGATTAGTTGAAACTTGAAATAGGTACAAAGGTACGTTTTGCAATCAAGATGTAGCTATCAAGGTCCTTAAGCACGAGAATTTTAATGAAAATATACAAAGGGAATTTGCTCAGGAAGTGTATATCTTAAGGTTTGTCTTATCTAACTTTCATGAATCACCCCCACCATAGGGATTTTTCTACGCATTTTATAGTTATTTCACGAAGAAAATTGTCAATGAGATATATAGACTAGTCCAATCATTCAACGATAAAATCCTTCTCCCACTAGATGAGGCAGACTACATAAATTAAACAATGTCAATGGACTTGATTAAAGAAAAAAAAAAGACCTTCAAATATATGATTTACAATGAAATTCCGTTGAAAACTATATCAATGACAATATAGATTGGCCTAAGTTTTATTATTATTTAAGAATATATATATATATTTTTTATGTTGAATACTTATTAAGTTAGTTTGCAAGTTTTACTAATATTATTGGACTTTTGATTTGTCTATATTGAAGGGCTTATTATTGCCTATCGGGACTAACAGACCAATTTAAACATGTCTCAGTGTGGACTTTTTAATTAATACTTCGGACTTTATATATAGGATTTAGGGTGGATCACAAATCTTTATTAGATAATTTGGAGTATTTTTATCTCTATTTTTGATATTTTTTATTAATTAAAATTTATGCAAATGTCATAATTTTTTTGAACCATATTCTTAATTTCATTAGCAAATCAATAAGTGATAAAAAAAATTGTTGATAACATTCTACTTTGTACAATAATTAGATATATCCCAAATGTTGGCACACACGATGATGATTGAAGAGGAATGATTCATCTCAGTCGTGTGACCAGGTTTATAGCTAGCCATTCACATCAGGGAGGATTAAGGTTGTGCTTAATTTAATTAGCCTCACTGTAATTAGTAAGTGAGTTTGAGCCTATTTATCAAATTATTTAGCCACTTTTATTTTGATTTTAGAAACTTGTTAGTTGTACGATTGGATTTTTCTATAAAGCTTGTTAAAGATAATTTTTAAGTATAATTAATTTAATGTTTAATATATTAAATAAAATTTTGAATCTTATAATGAAAAAGTGTGGTTGGAAGAGAGAATTTTACAATGATACGATAAGATTTGAATCTAAGATCTTGTAAATATTATTTTATATTAAAGAATAAAAATTTTAAATTTTATAATATATAAAATAATATTTACTTGAGAATAGTTTAATTTTCAAATAATATCCATTATTTGGTTGTGTTATTTTCTAATTTAGAATTTAAATAATTCTTAAATATATCATTTCCTTTTAAATTTATATATATATATATATATTCTTTATTCAAACTGAATTTTGTAAAAACAAACTCATGTAATTTATTGATGTTTAATAATACGAATCAAGGAAAAGAGCCCCTAAAATGTTCTTCCTACTCAGAAACCTTTTTCTAAAAAAATATTTTTGGTTCCTCTAAAATTTTTGAAAATCAATTTTAGTCCTTTGAAATGTTTTTAAACTATTTTAGTTTCTCTAATTTAAAATACACTATTTTTAGCCCTTGAAATTATTTAATGCACTAAAAATTATTATAAAACGTTATTTAAACTATTTTAAGGATTAAAAGTAGTGCATTTTTAAATTAGAAGGAGTAAAATTGAACAAGGTCTTTTAAGAACTAAAACTAAATTTGTAAAATCTTAGAGGATATATAAAAACATATTTTGCTATTTTTTTTCCTTTTCGACAATAGCTACTTCCTACTCAGTAAACAATCATGCAATAGAGATTATAATTTAATAAAAGTTAGGCTTAATTGCATTTTTATCCCTCAAATATTGTAATTGTACAATTTTGATCTCTAAGATTTTAATTGAGTAATTTTAGTCCTTAAAGGATTGTAATTGTGCGATTTTAGTCCTTCAATTTTTAATTGAACAATTTTAGTCCCTCAAATATCATAATTGTGCAATTTAGTCTCTCTCATTAAAAATTTAATAATTTTAATATATATATATACATATATATACAATATTTTAAAATTATACAATTATTTGTCTATTCAAATTAATGTATATTATATTTTTAATTAATGTATCAAATGATATTTATTTATTATTACTAAATAAATAAAATTTATATATTATTATTATTATAATAATATTACTGATAAATTAATATCAATAATATTATTAGTATATTTATAGATAAACTAATAATTTGATAAATATAACTTATTAAGTTTTTATTCAATGTGTGCGACTTATAAACTCTCACTTAATCGTCAATATAATATTTAAATGTTGACATTTAGTAATACATCATTGTTACTTAATTAATGAAAAAAATTGATGATGTAATTTCAACTTTTCACAACCATAATAATTGTGGAGTAATATATTTGTCCCTTCGTCCATGTGTCTTTGATTGAACATGAAACATAAGAATATTATTTTCGTTAAGTTTAATCATATGTTCCTCAATATGTAAGTAGATGTTCAAACATCATATTGGCCAATTCTCACGTGATCGTGCATATTTCATGTCTCACTTTATTGAGAAGTCCAAGACATAACTCTTATTATGTGAGAGGAACAAATCCCTTTTACATTCTTTGCATCTCTCCACATGATTTATTGTAGACTCAATTAATTATCTTTATAATTAGCTTGTTACAAATAATGGTTAATAACATCAAAGCCTTCATTCTTTAGATATAAGAATCATAGTGATTTCAAATTACTCTATTATATTCGTTATGTGACACATTTTCGCACTTGCATTATTATTTTGATGTCTTTTCATTGTGTTTCTTGTGGCTTTTTTTGTACGTGCTTGAACCATTAACATATTTTATTGTCATATTTTCTCTCTATCAGTACCACACCAAGAAGTCTTCATATACAATCCTTTTGTATCATGTTTTTTATGTGACTTCTCATCTATCTTATCATTCTTATTTTTGTTGCTGCCATCTCTTATGTTGTAACACTAATAAAATTGACTACCATAAAGTATAGTATAGTATAATATATATATATATATATATATATATAATTGATTATCCGTCAATTTGAATTAATGAAACGAAGTATTAAATGATTTTCAAATTTTTTAAAAATTTATAGATTTAATCTATGCATTAAGAACTTTAAATTAAACGGTTGGATCGTTGAAATTTAATGTAGAACATGAGTTATTGAACAGAATAAGTCTAAGTAGACTTATTTCTGAAGTAAAAGAACTCCTCCTTATATATATATATATATATATACTCTCCTTTAAGTTTGGTAGATATTTTACGATCCTAAGTAATTCCTTATGCCTTTCTCCATTTTAACCATCCCACTTGTCCAATCATTCAATCATATTAAATAAAACAATGAAATGTCTTGGAGGTTCTTCTCTTATTATGTGAGAGGAACAAATCCCTTTTACATTCTTTGCATCTCTCCACATGATTTATTGTAGACTCAATTAATTATCTTTATAATTAGCTTGTTACAAATAATGGTTAATAACATCAAAGCCTTCATTCTTTAGATATAAGAATCATAGTGATTTCAAATTACTCTATTATATTCGTTATGTGACACATTTTCGCACTTGCATTATTATTTTGATGTCTTTTCATTGTGTTTCTTGTGGCTTTTTTTGTACGTGCTTGAACCATTAACATATTTTATTGTCATATTTTCTCTCTATCAGTACCACACCAAGAAGTCTTCATATACAATCCTTTTGTATCATGTTTTTTATGTGACTTCTCATCTATCTTATCATTCTTATTTTTGTTGCTGCCATCTCTTATGTTGTAACACTAATAAAATTGACTACCATAAAGTATAGTATAGTATAATATATATATATATATATATATATATAATTGATTATCCGTCAATTTGAATTAATGAAACGAAGTATTAAATGATTTTCAAATTTTTTAAAAATTTATAGATTTAATCTATGCATTAAGAACTTTAAATTAAACGGTTGGATCGTTGAAATTTAATGTAGAACATGAGTTATTGAACAGAATAAGTCTAAGTAGACTTATTTCTGAAGTAAAAGAACTCCTCCTTATATATATATATATATATATACTCTCCTTTAAGTTTGGTAGATATTTTACGATCCTAAGTAATTCCTTATGCCTTTCTCCATTTTAACCATCCCACTTGTCCAATCATTCAATCATATTAAATAAAACAATGAAATGTCTTGGAGGTTCTTTTCCTAAATTGCATGTTCAAGTGATTATGATTCATATCAAATCTATTGTCCAATTGCTTCTATGCTGAAGATGATAGAGAACGAGAGGCAAAAAGAAAATGATAAATTAATAATATTTTGTTTTTATGCAATTCAAAAATGTCAATGTTGTGCTTTGTTGTGTTTCTTTACATAGTCAGCCTTAAGGAAAAATAAAAGGTAATCAGGTGAGGGTTGTGTTAGGTAGTTGATTATTAATTTAAAACTTTGTTAAATCTCTATAACATGGATCAACGAGAAGTCAATCCCACCTAATGAGAAAAGACTTGGTTAGTTGTTTTCCTTGTTGATATTCTATGCAATATAGGTCATTGTCTCCTTAAGTTATAGTGAGTAGTCAATCCATGACCTTTTTAAATTTAATTCTTGCAGTAAAATTCATCACAAGAATGTTGTCAAATTTGTTGGGGCTTGTACAAAACCCCCAAACCTATACCTTGTAACAGGTAAAATTTATCCTTGTTACTTTTTGCTTATTCATTTTACAAGGTCAAGTTATTGAGAAAAATATTGTCAATTTCAATACATAATTTGTTCACAGAATACATGTCTGGTGGAAGTATGTTCGACTTTTTGCATAAACAAAAGACTGTCCTTGATCTTCCATCTTTACTCAAAGTAGCCATTGATGTTTCTGAAGGAATGAAATATTTACATCAAAATGATATCATACATCGGGACCTCAAAGCAGCTAATCTTTTGATAGATGAGAATTGGGTAAGTTTACAATGTAACACTCTTGATTTTATTGGCCAGAACTATTGTTAATGCTATCAATGTATATATTGTAATACTGTAACAACTCTTCATTTCTAGTTGGGTAAATAATTGGATGTCTTCCATTTGACTATATATTGAAAATAAAGTGATTTATGATGCAAATCAATTAAATTCTAAAAAATTAATTGAACCAACCTTGGTAGATGAAGTCAAAGAAATCAAAATTGCTTAACTTTTGAAACCAATATATATAGTGTAGTTATGAATTGAGCATCGTCTCAATTTATCACTGTAACATGTTAAAATACGTTTCAAATTATTTAAGATTAGAGTTTGTAAAGTTTGGGTTGATAATTTGAGGAATATTAACATGAAGAAGTAAAGCAAAAGCCTTAAGGTGAAAGCCTAGTACAAGTCTACCGTTGGATGCTATAAGGTGTTAAATCAAATATATTTTATTGTAATGGATAATCTACCAACTATTATAATGCTTATGATTAAGTTTTTTCTAGTTTTCTTGAACATTTTTGTCTAGCTGCATTTGTTGTCATGTTATGAGTTGGTGAATTTTTGCTTTTGTGCCTGCTTTTCCAACAGGTAGTTAAGGTTGCCGATTTTGGTGTAGCTAGAGTTCACAATCAGTCTGGTATCATGACTGCAGAAACTGGAACTTATCGATGGATGGCTCCAGAGGTCTGTATATACTTATGAAAACTTCCATGGGGTTGATTACTTTAATTTATGAATTGTATAACTTACAGGCATGGATGAGGCTATTTAAGGACACAATAAGCAACAGTTTGTGATGTAATAAGATGAACCTAAACAGGTTGGAATGAGAATGACGGTTCTTCTGGTGAACAATACTTAAAGCAACATGATTTTCAGTACTTTTTTTGGTTGCTTATGCGCTTTGCAGATGGATAATATTAATATTGTGTTCCCCATTTTGTAAAACTCTCATCCAAATGAAAAATGTTGTAACAATCTCCAAAAGAAAGTGGTAGGCTATTGCTCTCAATTTACCTTCTCTTCTGTTGGCTGAAACCAAAACCAACTCTAGTTTGTTTTTTTTTCCTCTCCTACAAATGCTTTAATTAGTTATGTAAGACAACTAAAAAATAGATATTTCTTGTTTTTTACTTCTTCTTTTGCTTGCTGTATTGATTATAAATTAACTTATCATCCCCTTGACATGTGGAAGGTTATTGAACATAAACCATATGATCACAAAGTCGATGTTTTTAGCTTTGGCATTGTTCTTTGGGAGCTACTCACAGGAAAGGTAATACACCGTGCCTTTCCCCTCTTTAAGACTTTATCTTTCTTGGTACTCATAGAATTAAGAATTAAACATTCTTTCTCATGTCCAATTCAAAAATGATTTAATTTCTCTACTTTGTAAAATGAATTCACCTTTTTTTAATAGTGACTTTTTTCATGCACGACTGTTTTTTGTCCTTTTTAATAGTGGCCCTTAACATGTACTGCACCCTTTTAACCCAAGTATATAGATTCAATGATACTAGCTGGATTATTTCCTATAACCGAAAAAGTATTAAGTAAAAGTTTGTGGCCAATGTTGACCACATTAAGTCAGATAGGGTGAATGGATAATGTACAAACTTTGGCATAGGAAAGGATAAAAGCGAGTAACAACATATTTAACTTAAATGTAGAATAAAAGAGTTAGTAGGTGCTTTAGACATTTTTAGTGTTATTTTCGTTCAGTATTCCGATGGTTGCTTATAACTCACACCCTTCACCTATGTTTTTTAAACTGAACGACAGCTTCCTTATGAACATTTGTCCCCAATGCAAGCAGCAATTGGAGTGATGCAGAAGGTATTCTTTAACTAACAAAATTGCACATGCAATGCTAGTGAACTAACTGGTGTTTTGGATTATGTATGTTGGTTATGATTAATGAGAATCATTGGATAATGTGCAAGAAATATTACTATCTTGATAGCTCTATAATAGCTTAAGCTACCAACACAAAATATTATGAAATTGAATAAGTTTTGTGGAAATGATTTGCAGGGTTTAAGGCCTAGAATTCCAAGGCATACTCATCCAAAGTTAGTGGAATTGCTTCATTGGTGTTGGCACCAAGATCCATCTTCAAGACCCAATTTCTCAGAAATTTTGGATTTTTTACTGCATGTGACCAAGACGATATGTCGAGGGGAATCTGAACAAATTTTATGTCACATTAAAAAGAAAAATTGAAGTTTCCAGAATGCTACTTCCTCTTAACATGTTATCTAGGCATCTCTTAACATGACAAGAGGCTAAGTGCACAGGTAAATGTAAGATTTCTGAATTTAAAAGTTTTTTATTGGAATCTTGAACCCCTAATTTACAAATATGAAGTTGTTTTGCCCATTGTTAGTAAGATGTATATAAACTTGGATGTGCAGCTATTTCTCATTAAAACAAGCAAAAGTGTAAATGATAGTAAGATGATCCACACGTAAGCGACTGGGGGAAAGTGGAATTCAGTAGTAAAATTATCATGATTCTAAATGATGTTAAATATTTAGTATAATCATAACCAGTGCTCATATATTTACAACCGTAGTAAAAAAAAATATGCAGGGAGTCAGCCCTATCTTTATCTTAGAAAATAAAAATAAAAACCAACTTCTATTGACCAGATGTGGGTGTTTCTTATCCCAGAGTTTAGTTTAGGATTCCTTTTATCTTTTCTTTTTATTCTCGTGTATAAAAAAAATAAATTAAACTCCTAATAATATATTTTAAAGGATAAGATTATTTACCAATAATATCCCACTTTGTTAGTATAAATATCAACTTCTATATCACAAGTTGGAGTGCACAAATTTGATAATGAGACTTACTTTCTTACTCTTTGAATTATTCATTATTAATATTCTCTTATTTGAACATGAACACATTACTTTTGCAATTAGTAAAAAAAACAAAATTCTTTCAGCCGTTTTAATTTGTACTAATTTTATCTTTATTTGAATTTACTCATTTTTTTTCCTTTAAATTTATATTATGTTTTATTGGATGATTGTACATCACATATATTTGTAAATTTTAGATACACTTATATTTATGTATATTTTATAATGCAAATATCCTGATATCGTGAATATATAATCTTAAATATGTGTGTCGTTTTACTGTTTATAGTTAATAATTCTTAAGTATGATAATGAGGATGAATCGCACAAAATTATTTTTAATTATTAGTAGTTTATTTTAAAATATTAAAATTTAATTTATAAATAAATATGATAAATAAAAATTAAATTAGATAAAAAATTATTTATAAAAAAAAAAAACTCTTCAATTGGGGAAAAACTGCTTATAAGTGCTATTGTTGAAAAGGTTTGCTAAAATTGAGTTGCACTATAGACTTGCCAAAATTTGATTTCACGATAAATACTACACTCACAATACAAAATTATTTTTCTCTTACATTTCCAATAATATAAAAATAAATTTCGTTTCAGTGATTATTAATTAATACTGTTTTAAAAGATAATACGATTTATTTTAGTTCAATAGCTTTTTAAACCATTAAAAATCGAAATTAATTAATAAGGTGTATATTAATTTTAAAAAATAAATTAATAAAAATTATCTGTGACATGTGAAATTGAAATATATTTTATATTATATAAATTTAAATATTTTTAATTTTATTTTAAAATATAAATTTATAAATAGTTTATATTAAATTTAATATTTATACATTTCTTTTAAATAAAATTATTTTTAAAATTGGTCTCCCAATCATTTCTTCCTATATCCGTCCCTGTTAGCAGCCATAGGGTATATTAATATGGCTATTAAATCAGAGTATAATTGTCATGTACCTGGCACTTAGTTTCCGTGTGAAGATAAAATTCTGTCATTTTCTTATAATTTTATTTTCATGTACATTCATGCACCTAATTAAACAACGCCCTGATCTCACATGATGACATGATGTTAAACAAAATTATCAATTGTATGCATATTTTACATGACCTTTACATGTAGATATAACTTATGTATTAAGGAGAATAATAAAAATAAGACGCTGAAACGTGTCTTTGTAAGTTTTTTTTATTATTTTTTTTATCTTGATAAGGTTACATAATTTTTCTTATGTTTGAGTATTTTTAAAATTTTTTATTTATAACTTTTAGCTTAAATATTACTTCTTAATTTGGTTTGAAAAGTTAATTTAATTTAATTTAAATATTAGATGGTATAACGATGCATCACATTACCATATTTTATTATTCAATTTCTCGCAACGAAAAACATAAACTAATTAAGATTATTATGCAAATAGTTCCTGGATATATGTGTAACAATATATATATATATAAGATCGGAA